GAAGAGGGAGGGAGGAAGGGAAGAAGGGAGGAAAAAAGATAAAATGGATTAGTGTGATAGGGAGGAAGAGGGAGGGAGGGAGGGAGGAAGGGAGGAAAAAAGATGAAATGGATTAGTGTGATAGTGGATGGACAGGCTGCTGGTAGACTGACTGAACTTAGAATGGTCGACCATGCAGGCCCTGCGTGGACTTCATCTATTATTTTAATATTGTTGTTATTTTTGTCCCATCAAGTTGGAACCGACTTGCAGCTAACCCTCCAGCAGGTTTTCAGGGACAGTTAATCGCACAGGAGGAGATTGCCCAACCTTCTCCTACAGAGCAAGCTGATGGATTCAAACCGCGTGCCTTTGGGATCACGGTGCAGCATCATTCCACTAGGCCACCATTAATGTCAATTAAAAATCGTGCTTTTGGAAGATCTTTTTTGTTGGGTATTTCCCCATCACAAAGATAATATATGGTTTTTTATAATTTTAAAAATTATACAGAAGGCCAGGGTAATCGCCATGAACATTTCAGGTGGTAGGCTGTGCACCTCCTTACCAATGTACGTGAATGTGGCCGTAAAAGCGGAATCCAACGGGCCGGGCCTGCTTTATTTCTTTACTTATTTTTGTAATAGTCACAATCTTGGTTGAAAAATGGCTTTTATAGTCTTTATTTTTAAATTCGGTTTTTTTACTATTTGAGGGAAATTTGACAAAGCATATTAGCTTGTCAGCCATTCTTACATAGTCTGTTTACTAACATAGCTGAAAGCACCTACAATTCAATCACTCTTTCCCACTTTGTCCCTGTTATGCTTATTTCTGTTAATCCTTCTCTCCTACCCCTTCCTGCCTTCTGGGCTTTACCCTTCGCCCCATATTGCTTTACATTGTGCCTCTTCCACTTGATTCTCTAGTATCTTGGGCATTTTCTTCCGTTCACCAAATGCCTTTTAATGAAGTGTACCCTAAGATCCTGAGATGGTTTTGGGTTAGCACTGCAGTGTCCTATGGACTACACTAACTGCCTCTGCAAACCCGCTGGGGGTCAGTGATGGATTGGTTCCAACTCGATGGCACAAACAACAACAACAATCTAATATAATATGTAATAAGTTTGTTAAAGATACCAGTGTGTGCAATTTCTGTTACAGTGACACTAGATAACTAAGATATATTGCAATATTAGAAAGTTTATTTTATTTAGATATAGTGGAATAAATGTGTTTTTAGTAATGATAATCCACCTTAGAAAATATGGTAATCAAATGGTCATGTTTTCAGGCAGAAAATAATAAAGTAGAAACTGTTAGTATGTAACAATTTAAATACTTTGTTTACATTTGCTCTATTTCTGTTACTTAGTAGCTGTTGCTTTTTTGTTAACTTTGATCTTTAAAAACGGTTTATAAAAAAACTGTTCTTTGTAACTACTTTTTGAAGCCAAGTGGATAATTAATTTGCTTTGCTTTTTTAGAGTGAAATGAAAATAAGGGTCTTTTGCCCTATGAAAACTTTCTAGTTAGCCCATAAAAAAGTACCATGTTTATATATAGGTAGGCAGCCATGGTGGACAGTGTTCCCTGGAGCTTCCCAACTAAATCAAGCCTGGAAGCAGGAGCGGCATCCACTTCCAAAATGGCTTGCCTCCGGAAACTATGTACGAACAGTGCTCAGGCTGTTCGTTCATAGGGTCACTATGAGTCGTCTACGACTCGACGGCATTAAACAACAAAACAACAACAACACCCTAAGATCCTTCCAATTTTTCTCTTCTCTTAGCTAGCCAGTTTACCATTAGCAAATTATTTAACCCCAGCTTCCTTATCTAGGAGTCCTGGTGGTACAGTGGTTAGACATTTGGTTATTACACTGAGGGTTGATGGTTTAAACCCACCAACTGCTCTGTGGAAGATATAGCAGTCTGCTTCTGTGAGGATTACCAGCCTTGGGGACTGTATGGGGCAGTTCGCCACTACACCTTGAGGGGGAACTCAATGGCAGTGTGTTGGGTTTGGCTTGGGGGTTTCTCATCTGTAAAGGGGGTTTAGTGGGGAGCTCTGGTGGCCTAGTGGCAAGGAGCTGCAACTACAATCCCAGAGGCGAACGGTTCGAATCCACCAGATGCTCTGCCGGGTAAGGAGGGACA